CCCCACCCCCCCCCCCCCCCCCCCCCCCCCCCACCCCCCCCCCCCCCACCCCCCCCCCCCCCCCCCCCCCCCCCCCCCCCCCCCCCCCCCCCCCCCCCCCCCCCCCCCCACCCCCCCCCCCCCCCCCCCCACCCCCCCCCCCCCCCCCCCCCCCCCCCCCCCCCCCCCCCCCCCCCCCCCCCCCCACCCCCCCCCCCCCCCCCCCCACCCCCCCCCCCCCCCCCCCCCCCCCCCCCCCCCCCCCCCCCCCACACCCCCCCCCCCCCCCCCCCCCCCACACCCCCCCCCCCCCCCCCCCCCCCCCCCCCCACCCCCCCCCCCCCCCCACCCCCCCCCCCCACACTCTATCACCCACTCACCCCAATAATTACGCCCCATCATCAACCAATGAGAATATGTACCAACACACCCCCCCCCCCCCGCGCCCCCCCCCCCCCCCCGCGCGCCCTCGCACCCCTCCCTCCCCGCAAGATATATAGAAACCAACAGAAGAGAAAACCCCCCTCCACCCCCTACCCTCTCCCCGCTCCGCGCCCGCACCATATAGAAGATTCATCCCCCTCCCCCGCGCACCCCCCCCCAACAGATCTTCCAAAGTACTGTATCTGTTCCGCTCCAAGACTCCATTTGGACACTAAGAGTAACTCTAGAGGATGGGCACTAATCAGAATGTCATAGTGGTCGCATATGACATTGATAATAGACTCTAGCACGGGTATAAGTGTGTTAGAAGCTCTGAATATCTAATGTCCTAAGTATTCGATTATGCTCATCTCGTGGTCATATCGTCCATAGAACGCTGCATATGCTGTTTCGGCTCAAGAGAGTACTCAGTATAAGCCACTCGCGCCGTTCGACTCGAGACTGTACAACGCGATAGTCGTACTACTGTGGCTCGTATGACTCTCTCTTATGTCAATTCACACAAAGCACTGTACGAGAGTCTATTCAATCCGCTCTCGAGATCTCCTTTGATATCATAAGCTGCAGTAATCAGCTCGTCTTTCATAACAGATCTCTCATCTATATAAATCTAGCATGTTAATTTAATTTGTTAGCGCACTGGGTGCGCTTCATAGCTTCTCTCGAAAAATTGCACACATGATTTTTAATATATATGAAGAGTGACTTATTTTTGTTTGTTTGTCTGAATACTCACTCTCTTCTGTTAATTGTCGCTCTTCTCTCTCTTACAATTTAAATCTATATAGTCTCTTACGTGTAGAGCTCTCATTTAATGTTGTCATAAATTCTCTCGATGAAGCAGGCCAAAAGAATGCATCAAATTCTCCGTATTTATATACTTGAGTACACACTCCTTCATTTATGCCCTCAATTGAATTGTGTCAACAAATAATTATGTAGCAAGACCGGATTATATCTGGTATGTGCTCCTATACGCAAGAATAATCTAAATACATTGTTTGTCGATGTTTGTGTATCTTACCTAAACTAGATCCAGAGATAGATAATGATGTTACCTTTGTCATCATGATCTCTAGCCGCCTCTCAATTATGAAGGCAATTGCTTGCAGAGAACTTGATGACAGTTTAGCCATTGTGTCTGTCCATAATTGTGAGTGAAATCAATATTTATCGCAGGTTGTGTGCATACCTAGTGTGATCCCCAACTATCAATATACACCATTTCTTCATGGTATCAATATGTGCAGATGGAGCGACGAATCAACTAGCAAGACTCTCACACTCGAGATATAGACCCTCCTCTATTACTCTCTCATATGTACTTAAGATTCTCTCATAGGACCTAGATACGAGTCCATAAAGAGATTATTTCTCTCGTTGTCGGCAATTAGAAGTAGTGTAACATGATATATTATTGTTGCTGTGCTCAGAGATTGCAAATATTCCCACTTTATTGATCCACCGAGCCACTAACCTATATGTATAGCAAAACTATTCCAATACTAGAGGATAATATGATCTACGAATACTGTGAGCATATATGTAAAGATAGAGATAGATTTGATCTACTGTAAGATCAATATGACAAATATTAGACTTATAGTGCATTAGCCAACTCATGAATGAGATCGTGACCAAATACGATGGATATATACACTCACGCCGCTCTACACACGCTATGAGATACAAGAGTCTCGTTTTATAATTATGATGTACTGTAAAAATGTATAGAAAGTATATCTCTACATTCAGATAAAATCCACACGTGTTTTTGTCTTGTGCCCTCCAGATTAATATCCTATAAGATGTATTTTAGACTGTGTTAAGACTCAGTATCTTATATTGTCATCTTGAGAACTCTACATAGTTATCTCAGTAGAAAATCTTTTAGTTCGGTGCCAACGCTAATGATACTACATTAATAATAAATAAGATACTTATATACAATTTAAACACAAAAGCAAAAAGGCAAGATGAATTATGCAGATGGTTCTTATTCCTTAAAACTCATGTATCCTCAAACTAAGCCTCTCAGGTAAGAGCTCTCAGGTACATCTCGACTCAGATACACAACAGAAATCTTACTAAAAAAGACAAGAACACCCAAGAGAGTACTAGCACCTCTCTAAGCGTTGAGTAGGCCTGTCAGTGGAATATAGACAACTTTGTGAATAGAGAAATTTGATCTAAAGTATCTCTTGTGCAGCATAGACTTTGACCGTATCTATTGCGACTCTAATTTGTAGACACATTACTACCAGTGAATGTCAGGATCTATCACAAATGTGAAACATATCTCTGACATCTCGTAGAGATCAACGCCGCGCATATAGTGCATCAATCATCTACTTTGCGAGAAGATTAGTTTGGATGAACAAGGTGATAGCCTTAAATGTATCCTAGTTGTAACACGACCCCATAGAGTAGTGAACTAAGGAATACTAATGTACGCTCAGTTGTGATTCTTGTTCCAGAGTTGAAGTAAGGAATGGTGTATGGTGACAAGGCCCCAGGATGATTCTGTATCTACGAGTACCCCTCAATATACACAATAGAAATCGCTAACTATTGTGTTATCAATGCCAGTGAAACGATCTATCAGTGAAGATATCCCAGCACGGCTCCGGAGCTATGCCTACTCCAGATGTATCGCTAGTATAAGAGATACTAATGATAAGATAGTGAGTTCGCGGCCCAACAACATATTAGCTCGTATTATAGATCAGAGTATGAATCGAGAAGAAGAAGCGAGTATAAATTAGCTCGAGTTCTAGTAGAAAGAGTATGTAGCAATAAACTCACACACACCACCACATCACCCGCCCCTCCCCCCCCCCCCTCCCCCCCTCCCCCCTCCGTCTCCTCCATCTACGCTCCCCTGCCTGTTGTGCAGCATTTGGACGACAACTTAACTTATTACGTTGATCTAAAATAAGCAAACAAAATCACGCAAGCTATAAATATCGCTTGATTCATTGAAGTTTAGAGAAATGTATGTGTATGATCAGTGGAGTGTGTGATGTGTGTGGGCATGTTGTGTGGGCGCGGGTCAGTCGCTCTCCGCGTGCTCCAAGGCGATTAAGGATCTATTGGTGGTGACACTGGGGTTTATTTATGGCTTCTGGTGGTGTGGGTGGTGCGGCGATCGTATGGTGGGGTGCCTGTTCGTGGTCAGTTCTGTTATGTGTCAATACACGCTTCCTGGAACGTATATTTTATGATCCTTTTAGAATATCTTTTATTCAAATCCATAGACCTTAACCTCTCTGACACCCCCTTCAGTTGTGAAGCATCGGTTACCATCCCCTCGTTTCCGATACCCGATTCCAACTAAAAAATAACAACCACCAAAAAGTAATTATACAATACCTAACAATAACTACACCCCTAAACATAACTCCAGCCTAAATCACACACCACCCCAATGAAACCCCCCCCCCCCCCCCCCCCCCACCACACCCCCCCCACCCGGCCCCCCCCAGTCCGTGGCCCCTGGGTGGTATTTCACTGGTGGGTATGGGGGGACCGGTGGGTGTGGGGTCGGGGGGAATTCATGAATAATTGAAGCTGTGTTATGATTGAGATGGGATAATCTGGGGGTTCTTGTTGAGCATGATGAGTGGGGGTATTGCAGATTATATTTTATGTTGGAGTGACGTGATGGTGTTGTGTGTTGGCGATTTTGGAGTTTTTTATTTTAGATCAAGGTAATAGTTTTATTACTCAACATACTACCACATGTCGAATTTGAACATATAACTTTGCATTTGATTGTTTCGTATATTCTCTCTATAATATGCTCTTTCTTCAGCTCTTTTTGTTCTATCTATCATAATAGATAAAGTATGTTGTTGGGGAATTTTCTTTTTGTTTTTTTTTTAATAGTAACTGGTCAGCTCCGCCTTTTGTCTTTCTGTAATATATTTATTAAAAAAAATCTTGAAAATGTGAAGTTGTTTGTCTGTGCGAAATCCCTTGAAACAAAAATTCTACTTAACCTTGAAAATTGGTACAGTCTTAGTCCACTATATTTAGGGTCGATAGACCAAAGGTCATTAAGGCTACAAATAACTCCAGACAGAGAAGACATAGTCTTGAAACTGTGTATATAGTTCCTTTGGAAGACACATACAAGGTGTGTCAAATTGGAGGCCAAAAGATGAAGTTATTGAAAAATACATGTCCAATATCATCAAATTGTATCAGATCTATGGGCCTATAAGTTGCTAGTATTCTTAGGTTTTCTGTCTGTTTTTAGTAAGAATTCTGTTGTGTTCTGCAATACCTGAGCTCTATATACTGTTTATTTTAATTTAAAAAAGAACCTGAATTCACATTTTTTTGTGTTTAATTGTTTTTATTGTTATTACAGGTATATTAATGGCCACGAACTGTTTCTTGTAACATATCCAAATGATATAAGGACAGGAGAACCACAGACATCAACGGCTGCATGGGTACATGCACCTAATGCATAAATGCATTGATATTATATATTTTTCGTACTTTATTTAAAATTGAATTTACATTATATATAGGTTAATGGTCTGATGTCATTAAAAGCAATTTATCTTAAATGTATATGTATATATATATTTTTTTTTTCATTTCACAACGTATTGTAGAAAATAAATATATGACTAGATTTTTACATTTTTTATTTAGTTCCTAAAGGTATATGCACTCTTCCTCCTCTCTCGTTCACTTCATGCCAGCAAGAACAAGTTAATGATCTAGGTTCCATGATATCTACATACATTTTTCCTTGGAGGTGGTCTATCTCATGTTGAAGTATTCGTGCCCACCATCCATGGGCTAAAATGGAGAATAAAGCACCTTTTTCATTAAATCCTAAAAAAATAATTAATAATTAGATTGTGCCAAATGTTAGAATGCCAAAATTTGTGGCAGCTTATTAGAAATTAATATAGAATCCAATCGAATTAAAGACCAAATACCACTATGAATGAGATAAGTATCAGTCAACCAGTAGTACAGGTTTGCTAAGATCTTTGAGCTCATTCCACAATTTTACTATTATAAAGAGGAATTTATAACTGCTGCTCAAACTTACCACAAAAAGTTTTCCTACAGAAGATATTTAAAAATTAAGTATAGGAGCTACTAATGAATATAGGATATTCAGAAACAAAAAAAATGTTTTTATTATTTATCCTGTTCAATATTTCATGTGGCGCCATCTACAAGTTAATTTAACATCTAATATTACATAATTTCTTTAGGAAAATGACTGATCAAGGTTCAACACAACAGGGCGGCGTGCGCCGCGTTGGCGTTGAAAGCGGTCTCTCGTCTATGGTACTTACGTTGTGCAACACAGACGAGACGTCGTTTGTCAGCTCGCCGCGCGGCCTTATACTGAGTACCATGCGCCGTCAGCGGTTTTATGACTTCTGGCGGCAAATCAGTAATAGATATCTCGAGCTTCAACACATATGTGTGACTGTTTTGCAACGGTTTTATTTGATTACTTTTGTGTGTGGTTGCCAAATTTTGTATATATTGTGAAGCTATAGACATCGATAAATTAATTACCGAAATTCACACACGGCCAGCAATTTGGAATATTTACACACGCTCAGATAATTATTCGAATAAAATAAAGAAAAAAACATTTGGGAAGAGGTTACCCACAGTTTTATTTCGGAAGATGCTTTTCTGGGCCATCTTTAATTTCGTTAACTAACGTGTAAAATGTTTCTTTTATTTTTTCATTTATTTACTATAGGATGTATCCAATACCTGCGTTTCTTCTTCTTCTTTGATTTAATATGAAGTAAACTTGTACTTATTAGGAAAAACAAATCGTCGTCACTTTCACTAGATGACATCATTATACCATTCTATATCCAAAACTCGACTAAATTTACTGAATACAATGGCAAAACTAGTGCCACTGTTAAACCGCCTAATGTATTTTCAGCCACGCGGCAGCCGACGAGGCGCAAACTGCCCTGTCTGTGTTTAACCTTATTAATAGAAATATTTTAATTTTACTAACATCCTGTATCTTAGACTATTTATTGTTTCGTAACAATATTATTTGTAGATAGGTACTGACTACAACATAAAAAAATAGCAATAAATATTTTCAATATATTATCTTACCTTTTACCTCAATAGACCTATACCTAGGTACCTCAGCGTAATATCCCTTCATGCTTTCACATGATTCTGGAAAAACCACCTTTGTGTAATCTACAATTCTTATTTGTGGATTTATAATTACCTAAAACTAGTATATACTGGCATTATGTTCATAATTAATATGTCTAGATATTTGTTTTACTCAATATAACATATTTTTGGGATCCAAATTACTGTGTTTATCAGAAAATAAAGTAAAATCAAAATAGTAAAATTGATATAATTTTTTTTCTATTTGCTCATACCACAGAATAGATAGAAAGCAGAATACTCTACAATTAGAATTGTAGATTCATGAATTTTTATTAAAAGTAAAACAATTTGAAATTTATGTTAAAGAATTTATGGTTCTTGTTATGCTTTGTTCCTGTTTTATTTCTTCTTGTACAATACTGATTTAATATATTTTATGAGATTCATGCAATATGTTATAGAATATTTTTATAGAAACTATGTGAAGTTTAATCACAAATATTTTATCTTGCTCGTAATAAATGCCAGCAACTTTCCTTTATGGAATTTAAGGCTGTCCTGACTCAATACTTATTTTATAAGTGCATGTCTCTATCATATCACTGAGCATTTCATAGTTACAAAGGAAAACTTATTCTACATCTTCTTTCGAAGGTTGGAAACTGCTGTACGAAAGATTGTTGTTGATGAGCGGGCAAACCATCTTCTCAGCCATGAGTTCTGGTGTCTTCCAACCGATCTTTTGCCCTGTACTTTACTTTCCAATATAATTTGGAGTAATTCATATCTATCACCTCTCAACACATGACCCAACTATTGTATTTATCCCTCTTTGATTATGCTGAGTAATACTTTTTATTTACTCATGTGCTGAAGTACCTCACAATTAGTAACTTTTTGTATCTATGGAATTCTAGCATCCAGGAAAGGCAGGAAATCTATTTCTCCAAATCACACTTTCTGCATCACGGTTCATTTTCACCATGTTGTAAAGTTTTATCCTTCAATAGTATCCAGCAACTATCAATGTCATCATCTTCAGATCTAATCGTCTACATCTAAACTGTTAATTTTTTCATCTTATTTTTAACATAATCCCAAAACGTTGTTTTACTTACTGTTTGTGGTTGAATAGTCATCTCCTTAGCTTTAATTTCATTTTTTGGATATCCTTTCAAGTGTTTTTCATTAAATTCTGCTATTACAACTTGCAGAGGTATTCCAATTTGTGGTGCTGACAGTCCTACACAGTTATTACTTTGGAAGGCATTTCGTAATTTTTTAATAAGATATTGAGCCTCGGGTCTACAAATGTCATCTTCACAAATTTCTTCTGATGATACTCGTAAATTTGGATCACCTATTTGAACAATATGACTATAAGGTGGATCATTAGGTTTTGGTTTAACCAAATTAGCGTACCAGGTCCTCAATGTTTTGTAACTGATATAACGTACACTTTGTTGCATTCTCATTTTTAAAAATTATTCAAATCATATTCAAATTTTTAAATCTCGTTTTTCCTTTACATAACCTTTCAAAAAGCATGGATAACCACAGCATATACAAGATTAATTAAATTAAAATGACATGACCACAGAATAATAAATAATTTATTCTGTGTCATGACTAACAGCATTGCCAACCAAAAGGTCTTCGAATATGTTATTTAACTGTACGAATTTCAAAAATCAGATACAAAAAATACAAAATTTTTCCAAGAACCACAAAATTTAACTTAACATTTAAATAGTTCTTCCAAGGGAGCTAATCTGTAAGTTTTGAAGTAGCGGAACAATCAGTGTTTGTACGTTTTCTTCATTTTTCCCTTTTGTAGTCTCATGTTTATTTTGGTCTTCTGTCCTGCATTTTATTGTCTCTTTTTAATAATCTTGATAGTCTGCAGGAGCACCCAGGTAGCCCCTTTTTCTCATATTTTGCTTCTAAACTTTTCCACATATGGTACGCCTGTTCTTTGTCCCGCAATATCTCTAATTGTGCATCGGAAACACATTGAACAATTATTGATTTGGCTTTATTGTTCATTTTTTGGAATTTTTTCATCTCGTTCTGGCTTAAACCTGTTGTGATTGTTTCACCTTTTACACACTCTAATACTTCATTTTCTGCCAATATTATTTGTATTATTTCCATCCGAAACTTCCATGATAAGGAATTCTCACCTTTTAGGGCCTCAAACGTGTTAAATAGATGGATTGTAGTATTATAATTATATTATCAATTTATAAAAAAAATGTTTCGCAACCAACAATACACATAAACCTCATTGACACATTCGAAAATGGATACAAATTAACTGCGCAAGTCTGCACAGAATAGTGGGTCGGGCTCTAGACGCTAGTAGCATGTTGCAGGAGCAGGTCTGTAATCTGTGGTTCTATGTCATCAATTCATCTGTTTGTTTACTGTTTACTTATTTTTGTTGTTTTAGGTTATATTTGGAATCGTTATATTCAGTTTATATATATTTTTATAGTTATGGATAAAAACAGACGTAGAATAACCGTAAAATATAAATCTGCAAATCCTTTGTTTGAACAATGGCTAAATGAATGGAAAATGGATGCAGAAGCAAAAGACTCAAAACTAAAATATACATACAAGCTAGCATTAACTTCTATAAGACAATGTCCTATTCCTTTTAATTCGGGAAAAGAATGTAAAATATTGAAGGGATTTGGTACCAAATTATGTCAAATGCTAGACGATAAACTAAAACGACACAATTCTGATTCTACAGAGAATAGTAATGATGTGGACACTGGTGACAAAATTATAGTAGGTAAAATTAAGTGTAAATTTAAAATATGAAAATAGAGATTTCCCATTCAGTTTATGACAGGATTTCAGTATGCGTTTTTATTTAATCTATTCTTATTGTTTCTTATTCTAGATGTTTTATAATAGGTTTCTGCTATATTCAGAAAGGCTTTGATATTGATGCATCTTTAGCAATACACATACAGTTTTGCGGTGATATTTTATTACTGCACAGTCACTAGTTATTTAAGTATTAAAGTGTGGTTATTAATTATCTTCTACTTCTCTACTTAGTTCTTTCAATGAATGATGAGTCTTTATTGTTTACTTTCTTATATTCAATCATTGTCCCAATGTATTTTGTTTTCTGATTCTGATTTCTGGTCCATCCTTGTAACTTGGTATCTTTTTATGTATTCACTTAAGTTTAGTTCTACTCTAGGTTTCCATATTTTCCTAAGTGTATGCAAATTAACAACTCTATAGGATGACAAAGTTTTATACAGGTTCAGGTTTTCTATCAGAAATAAATCAAAATTTTCCTTTTTTTATATCTCAATAATATGTTGCTAATTGTTTGTTAACTTCATCAGAACACTATAAATATAAACAACATGTAAAATGGTAAAATTATTTACACAGATGCAAAAATCAAATAGAACTACATCATAAATATGTATGACATATTATACATATACAACTGAGACAATTACTTAAAAAAAATAATATTAAAATTGACTTCAAGTTTAATAATTTTGGTTTTGATAAAAAACATTATTTTGAATATGTTTCGGCAAGGTTGCACTTGCCATTGTCAAGTCAGTTAGTAACGTTTCATGTTGGTGGTTGAATATATTTTTGTAATAATATAATATTATAATTCTAGGACATAAAAAAAACTCATTTAAGCCCATCATCAGAAAATATTTCCAATGAAAACAATCTTCAAATAAAACCAAAAATTAGTAGAAAAAAAGAATCCAAAGTGAAAAAGATTCCTTGTCCTTTGCAAAAACAAACATCATCATCATCAATGGAAGAAACATCTGAAAATTCACAAGAAATTAAAGTGAGTGCTACCAAAGGAAAATCTAGAAAAATAACAAAACATGTTTCAAATACATCTGAAGAATCTTCTCAAAATTGTCAGGACTTTTTTGTGATGGAACCCGGAAATTTTGATATTATTTTGTATATTGATACACAGGAAACAGGAAATCATTCACAGAGGAAGACTGATCCTTTTTTGAAACAGTTAGACAAACAGTCAGGTTAGTTATTCATATATAGTTTCTAATGGTTAAAATGTTACAAAATATTTTTTAATGAAAATATAACTTTATTTATAAAACAAAAGGCACAAAACAAAACTTTTTTTAACTCAATGCAAACTCATAGGACTTACCATATGGAATATGCACTTCTTCATAGATATATTTATCAAGCTAGGCCAGAATTGACCCAAACACTTAAGAATCTTATGATTCTGAACATATCATTAGTGAACTCTTTAAATTGTAGTGAAGCTGTATTTTTATCAGGACACCCCATTTTTTTTAAGATGAGAAATCTGTTTCAGAGAAGGATAAATAAAAATAGGACATATATAGCAATGGTATAAGATACAAAATGTGAATAAGAAACTATCCCATTTAATTTCAAACTAGTTATCATGCCAAACCACATTATTAATAGTCTCTAGTCCCTGGCAGGGCTGAGATGGTCAAGGGTTGCCTGGAGGATAATTAAAGTTACCATAAGGGAAATTAGATTGTATAGGATGTTTCTATAGGATTTTGACTATAATAATGTACCTGTGAAAAGTTGTGCCATTCTTATTTATTTATTTTCAACCAGCTGCTACCCAAAAGATTAACAATGTTTTTATGCCCATCTTCGTGCTCGAGATAAAAAATTATCATATGCATGGTTCGTTCTGTGAAGAGGAACATAAAAAGTTTGGTTTGTAGAATTAATTATGCCATAAAGCATCTTTGCATGTCATATAATGAGAGAATACCAAGTTGGATTTCAATTTGATCATAATTTACTTGATTTAATTCAAACCCTCTTTATATGCTACATATTTTAAGATTTTTTGTTGGACTGTCTCGACTTTTGATAGGTAAATATTATAAGATAAAGACCATACACAAGAACAATACTGTAAAGAGGTGTAACTAAAGAACAATATAGTAATTTAATCACTTTAAAATTCTGAAAGTCCATAGCACATCTTTTAAAAAGCCAAGCAATTGTAAATGCACCATCTGAACTTGGTCAATCAAGTATGTTCTCAGCCATCCAAGAAGTGGGACCATTAACAATCAATACCCCTTTAGTTTACACTCTACGTTTAAATAGTAAAATATTATGGTTGGCCCTATCAAAGGCCTTGGAGAAATCAGAGTATGTGCATGTACCTTACACCACCTCTCCAAGGCCTTCCTCAGGAAGTCCACAAACACTAATAGTATATTACATTCAGTTGATCTGCTATTCTGAAATCCAAATACTAAAGTTGATTCCATTATTTGGAAGAGTGATTTCATTGTTTGAAGGCATAGAAGTGGGGGAAAATGTATGAAAATCCAGTGGCGTACACTCACTTTTATTTCAATGTTAATTATATTATATTTTTAAATATTATTTGTTTAAAATGGGCCACAATATATTTATTTACAGGTTTTTAGTGACATTTCGATATCTATATCCAAAGATTGTTTTCAAAGATATAAATGATAGTTATATTTATCTTATTTGTTTATTATTATTATATATTTTGATATAATATTATATTATTTATTTTCTATTTTTTTTCCAACTTTGAAAACGGTCTCTGGAATAGAGATCGAAACGTCAGTAAAATAAACATTTGAATAAATGTATTGTAGCTTATTCCCAACATTATTCCTAAAGATACAGAACACCACAAACAAAAGCTATAAAAAACAAGTAAATTTGCAGAAAGCTTATTGAATAGTTAAACAATTAATTTAACAAAATAAAAATAATTTCTAATGTCATATGTATCAAGTATGATTTTAAATAATGATTGTTTTTAGGTGAATGCCAATATGAAATAAAAAAGTTAAATGTTGGTGATTACGTGTGGATCTGCCGTGACAAAATGTCGAAAAAGGAATTGGTCCTACCATACATTTTCGAAAGGAAAAGACTGGATGACTTCTCACGTAGTATTACTGACGGTCGATACAAAGAACAAAAATTTCGATTGAAGAAGTGCGGCATAGAAAACATTTATTATCTGTTGGAAAACTATAGTCACTACAGTTTACCCCTAACAACGTTACAGCAGGCCGCCTTCAATACTGCGATACATGATGGCTTTAAAATCAAAATGACTACAGGTTTAACTCACACGGCAAAACTTTTGCTCAACTTTTCGTCATTGCTGAAAAGAATTTTCGAGAAGAAAACTTTATTCAGATGTGAAAAAGAGTCGATTACTCCAATAGATTTGAATGATGATGTTGCTTCTTTGATGAGTTTCACAGATTTTAATAAAAGTTCTATCAAAAATAGGCCAATGATGGTAACTGACCTTTTTATAAAAATGTTAATTCAGATACGTGGAATGTCGGTGGCTAAAGCCGTTTCCATTACTGAGCTGTACCCAACACCTATGTTATTAAGAAAAGCCTACGAAGATTGTGTTGATGAAGTTTCAAGGGAAAAGTTATTAGAATGTATTATGTGTGGTAATAGAAAACTTGGCTCGACTTTAAGCAACACTGTACACCAATTATTTAATTTTACAAATTATTAGTTAATGTATTATTAAATATTATTAATAAATTAAAAAATAGTGTTTAAGGGAATAATTGTGATATTTTATAATTTTATTTTATTAACAATTGTTTAGATCCTAAAATATACACAATATAAAAACCATCATTTTTTTTATAATATTTTGTCTTTATCGTGGAACGATGTTAAAAACTGTGAAATATGATAGGAGCTGTAATTAAGAACTACATGCGAATTATACTTAGCTTTGCGACAAGATTTGTAGTGAGTAAAATATTTAGATGAGTATTCCAATAAATTACAAGACCTAGTACGAAAATTTTTAAAAAAATATTAAATAAACGCCACCTTGTTTTTAACCCCAGCTTCCTTTAAAAACTGTATTTCTTGTATTATTCGTGTGCTAATTGGCACTCTCTTTTTTGTTTGACCTTCGATTTAAACGGCCAGTGCATTTTCCAAGGTTTGAAATCGCGAAAAACAAGTTACTTTGTTGCTAGACCTAGTGCCATGTAAAACACTGGAACGAATGGTTGTCTCACTCTTTTTAATAGTCCTTACAGTAGACTCGTTCACTTTAAACTTCTTTGCGACACTTACAAATGATTCTCCTGCATCGAAACAGTCTAACAACTGAATTTTTTTTAACTAAACTCATTACACATCTTTTCCTTTTAACAAAATCTTTTACTATTCCTTTTAGACGAAGACTTTTTTTCAGTATTAAAACTATGTATTGGTCGACTCGATGTTAAAACGAGACGTATAGAAGTACAAAATATCAAAATATGTAATTGCATATTTGTGAAATAGTATTATCATATCAACAAAAATAAAGAGGCTGAGATCAGCGCATCGAGCAAAAAGACAAAAGAGGGAAAATCCTTTTGAAAAGGAGACCAAAAAAGTGGCCTCTGATGGCGGACATATCCGGAAATGCATATGCGCCAAATTTAAATTTTCCGACACTTATTAACTGTAGCTATATAATATTTTTCAGAATGTGTCTTAGACGAGAAAGTTTTAATTAATTATTAACGGTAATAGTCTAAAATGCGACACAATTGTTAAAAAACTTCAATATAAATAAGATTTCATTTGACATTTGGGACAAACAATAACATAACCCAACTAAATTTGATGTCAAACAAGGAGAGAGACTCTCTTTCCTTGTTTAATGTGGCCTCTAAAGTTCGCACTTCCTGTCTAACAATATTTTTGCCCCCACTACCTTTACATTCCCTCTTTTGTCTTTTTGCTCGATGGATCAGCGTCTACATTCGCCCGCCGGTATTTTAAACCTTCCGAACTATAAGCGCCAGTGGCGTATCATGAATAATTTAACGCGACTGGTCAAATTATAAAAAATATATAAAAATAATATTCTCATTAAAGATTCAACAGGTATCGCAACCGCGGTTGATAAGTCCGCGGATAACGAGGGATTACTGTAGTGCGTTCACGCATTGCGTAAATGAAAACAAAGCGCTAAGTGGGCAAGGCATTAGTATTTTTCATATAAAAATGCTTGCGCGTCACAATTTATATAAAGTAACGTCACTTTTATTTAAAATTTCCAGAACGTCAACCTTAGAGTTCAAATTTTCCTAACACAGCTAATAATACGAAACCCATACGGAACTGCTCGATCTTTCATAGGCGTCAACATGGTGTAAGAATCAGAAAAATGTAATCATCATTATATTGGAAATTTTATGATTATATTGATTAAATAACCAAAAACATTTGTTATTATTAATAATATAAATTTTATGAAATAACTCTTCAAGTTTAATGTTCCACAAAATAGTAATTTTTAATTAAATATATTAGACAATTGTACGCAACTGATACGGGAATACTTCAAATTTTATTTACACTTTAGCGTGTGGTAAAAGTGTTACCACTGTTTTAGAGTAAGAATTTTGTTTCTGTTTTGTTTTCTTAGACAATTTGATCATATATATTAATACACATACATATATTAATAAATTGTATTTATTAATATATTTATTGTATTTATAAATACATATTAAATTTAGATTAATTGCTTTAAAAACTAATTATTGTTGTGTATTGTGATTGTGCTAAGCCAAAATAAATAAATAGTCTGTAGAAAGCTAATAAGCTTTCATATAAGACAGATTATTTTGAACAAGAAATAATCGCTGGATGTTTTTACTATTAAAGCACGAAAAGAGGTAAGTTTAAAATTTAGAATATATAATTTTGTATTAAAATGTTTTCTTGTTTTTTTTTGTGTTGCAGTAGTCTTAAAACTAAGCGTATTTACTGTTAGTATAATAGTTTGACAAATTGTTGACATTTTAAACATTCCTCACTAACTATTCTGTTGTTTTGGCTAAGCTGCGGGGTTCTGATATCGTAAATCTTGAATGACGTGCAATTATTTTTATATGAAAAATGCTATATTAGATTTTTAAATAAAGAAAACTTCATTCAAAATAAATTGTAGGAAATATCTACTACATTGAGTAAGTTAGTGGGAGGGAGAAAAGGTAGTGCCCATATCGCCTCCCTATCATAGCCGCCTGTGCGTATTTCCAACGTTCAGAAGTTTTGCAACAAGTCTACTAGGTAGGCGATTTTCTGGGAAAGAACTTAAATAGGTAGAAAAGAAAATACTTTGTAGAAGCAAATCTGTTTAATAAAAGTTAACAACTAATAAATTACACTGTGTCTATAAATAATGATTCCAACTTTGAATTCTGTCTTCTTCATCAATTTCTTTCCAGTTGGGTGAATGTTTTTGATTCAACCAATTGAAATCATCTATACATGTCCAATTATTTACAGCAGTATCAAAAGAGGCATTTTCGAAATCGCTTTCAATGCCTTCATATTCCCAATTATAAGGCGCAACTTTGATTTCTTTACAATCTTCCATTATAGCTCTACTAGTTACATAAAGATAAATATCGGTATTTTTAGAGTTGTGCAACCGCAACTGTTGACATGCTATGACTAAAATACAATTCTCACAGTTTTCAGCGAATATTGAAGTACTAACTGGGCCGGAGAATATCCTACAATTTCTTAAGTAATTTAAGTGTAAAGTGGAAGGACTTCCTTGAAAGAATACTGTACAGGAATCTAATTTTTCTAAAGTAACATCCTTTTTAAGCAGTTCAGAATTATTTAAAGTGAGATGTTCGTTACACTTATTGGAAAAACCGGTAATGTTTTTGACAGGCTCAATTTTTGGTTTAAAATCGACATCGTCTATACCTCTACTTCTTATTTCGCTATTCTGTGCTTTTTGTTTAACTTTATTTTTAAAGGAAAATTTCTTTTTGGGCAACAATTCTTCTTCTACTTGTTTCGTTCTTACTGTTAACTCCTGTAAAATATTCTGACATTTTTGCATATCATAATTCCTAATAAAAATATTTGAAGCTGCTACATATTTTTGTAAAGTTACTATTTCTTTCAATATTTCATTTAAATGATCAGGTAGTTCATTCACTGGGACACTTTTAGACATATTTATCATATTTTCAATGTACGATCGTTTTTCTGCGAATAGAGTTTCGAAAAACTCCAATTTTTCGTTACCCGCTACAAGTGAATCCTTGTTATCTTTCCGTTTTTGTAGATTCACTTGTCGCTCCACTTCTCTCTTCGTTAAAATATTTAGTTTGTTAGCTTTTTCATTTGTGTTTTCGAAAGTTATAGTAGAATTCATGTTGGATATAGGATACAAAATAGGTTATTAGGGATTACTTCTTTCCAAATTCTTTCTCGAGTTCTTCCTTGGTTAAACGATAAATGGGCTTCTTATTTTCGGATGCTGAGATTATAACATCCATAAACTGCTGGTTTTTAGTTAAATATTCCCGTTTTTCTTTACTGGTCAGTAATTCCTAAAAATAAAAATTGAAATTAATATTAATCATAAATAATGAGTAATCAGAAAACAATAAAACATTTTGTAAACGGCGAATGTAAAATACAAAATAAAGCAAAACATAAAAACACGAATGCTATGAAATATGAATATTATAACAGGTGTTCAGTGAAACGGCACGATTTGGCACGCTACAAGCAAAAAATAGAGGGACCGTGAGAAGTTTAGTTATCGTGAAGAAGCAGTGGGGTGAATAACGTGCATTTGATGTAAAAGCTTATTATAAAAATGATGAGAGTTTTGTGCGTGTGCAACAACGAGCGTTTCGTTTACAATGACATTTGCCACGGCATTCCAATTCCGTCTAACAAGGCTATTCAGACTTAGGTTAGGAACTTTGAAATGAGTGGTTCAACATCACAGAAACGAGGTGGCAGTGTCAGAATTGCTTGCACACTACAGAATATTGAAACGGTGCGAAACTCATTACACGCTAGTCCTTGAATATCCATGCGAAGACAAAGCTTAAATATAGATTTAAGCTATACCACTACAAGCAAAATTTTGCATAAAGATCTCCAGTACCATCTATACAAAATCCAGATTTGGGTTTTCTGAACAAATATTGGAGCGTATTAATAAAAACGACAACTTGCTGCATATCTTTTTGAGGACAACGAAGAGCATGCAGTATTAGTAAACTCTGATCGCTACGTGGACATGTTAAATATTTTTTTCTTTCGGCAATCAAGAACTACAGAAAAGAACACACGACTTTTCAACAGGATGTCAATGGATTTACTAAGAAGATAGTTCCGTGGTGATGGGCAAAAACGGCGATATTCCCTGGCCATCTCTGGCCATATGCGAAAACTTTCTTTGGAAACATCTAAAGTCGAAAGTGTTTCAAAGTAGCCCCCAAAAACTATCGAGGTTTTGAAAGAACGGATACGCAAAGAAGTGGAAGTAATACCTTAATACTCAATGTCGTAAAAAGCTTTGTACCACAGCTGCAAGAATGTGTCTGACAAAATGAAGGCCACCTTTCCAATGTCATCTTGAAAGACAGAATATTTCTTCACTTACAAATTAATTTTCATCTGTGTAGTAGGTATAATATTGTTGATCTGTATTTCAATAATCAGTCTACT